TCTTAATCAACTTAATTTTCATCCTGTCCGTTGTGAGGCAGTGCGAATTTTCTACGACAACACGACAACTATTTGTGTCTCTAAAGAGCCTCGGTTTTACAAGAATTACAAGCATATCAAGCCATACTTCTATCACTTGAGAAATGAGGTGAGATTGAAAGAGATCGAGATCAGCTACATATATACAGATTTGATGATTGTAGACCCTCTGACTAAGGGAGTTGTCCCTAATATTTTTGTAAGACATGTGAGAGAGATGGGGATGAGAGAAAGTGAGAAAGAGAGAATGTAAGGCCCTCCAAGGCCACGTGTGAGATGTTGGGTTTATGTGGCCTTTAAAGCCTTATGAGTGTGTAATGAAAAACTTTTATTATATTTGAACATAAATTCAGTGAAAGTGTGGTCCCTCAAGGACCATACTAAGCAAATGATGTTTATTGATACTGGATTGTGCTTGACGATTTGGGCCAGTCGGTTGGAAAACCCAAAGTACCTGGGCATAAAGAATAAATCGAGAAGAGTTTTTGGGTTAGCCCTTGATGAGGTCGGAGCTTATGCCTAGATGAGTGAGCCGAGGGACTGTGTGACCCATGTGTGCGATGATAGGAATACAGAGACAGAATCCTCATCCATGTTCCATCACACGACATACATATCGATATATCGTTCGGGAAAACCAGTTATCCACCTTTTGGGTGAAGCGTATGCATGTGCGAGAGATACCCCTATGCATCATAAAGCTATGGTCTCATCAGGTTGTGGTGACCTTGACTCGTCTTTAGGGGAGGACCTATAATCCATAGACTGGGATTGCGAGCCCTTGACTCATCAACCATACTTTGATGACCCGCTAATGAGCCCCTGCTTGGACTGTGGGTCATGGGAAACACTGGGTCGGTTCTATAAAGTAAGTGTGGTCTGTAGTCCACAATTGAAGGTGGAGTACCCAATAATTATAGATTGAATTCCTAAAACCATATGGATCATTTTCCCATCATATTAATTTAAATGTGTTCATTTTATTATTGAAATGATTTTAGTTTTATTATTTGAACTGTTATAAATCTCTCAATATTTTATTTATGATTTTTTACTTATAAAAATATAGTTATTGATTTTACAAAGTTATAAAAAATTCATATATATATAACATTATTTTTTATAAAACTCCATGGGGGCCCATAGTGCACATGGGCTGACTTGGCATGTGGGTGGGGCCCACATGTGCCACATAGGGGTGGCACGCCCTACCCCTTTGGATTCCTTTTGATAGCTTTGTGTTCAAGTTATTTAAATATGGAAAGTGTATTTTATGACATATGGTCAATTTATAATATAGTAAATATTGACCGTATCTTACCTATTTAAGAGAGTAAATATTAACTTAATATTTCTTGATATATTCTTATGGAATATATGAGATGGATAATGCAATTTTATGGAATGCATGATATCTTTAATGGATTTAATTTATTTAAATATATTGATGGGAAAATGATTTAAGGAAAGTGGGATAATGGTTCATGTACCTTCCATAATGTTGATGACCCATCTATGGAATGGATGACTTAGATATCTCACCCCACAAGTTACATTGATCAACGGTCCATATTCAATCTAAAAAAAAATGCAAACTATGGGAAACCTTAAAGAAACCCTAGACTTAAATTTCATTATAAATAGGGGTACTCTCCCCCATCTCTACACCTCTCTCTCCTATAACCTCTCTCTCTCTTCCCTAGGGGCCACGCCCTCTCTCTCCTCTCTGGCTTTCTCTCTCTAACCCTCTCTCTCCTAAGACCCATAGGGGACACGCCCCACCCTAGGTCTCATTTTCTCTTTCTCTTGACCTAAAGATTTAAGGGATAGAAAAATTAGGGTTTGAGCCTAATTGTTTTGGAGTTAGGGTTTTATAGAGATTTAAAGGTGGTTATCTAGTTTGGCCGAAATTAGCTTTCCGGGTTTGAGATTGAAGCTTGACCGTTGATCCCGCGCCATTGGATGTGATGCCTCGGTGTGGAGTGTAATAAGCCCGGTTGAGGTAATCTCTGGCATCTTCTCTTTTACTTTCCTGCTCATTTATTTTATATTCTCAAACATAATATTAAGTTATAAAAATAGCATCAAGTAGTTGAGTTTTATTTTTATTGTTGTCATGTTTTATTTTAAAATATTTATTTATTGTAAAAAAGCCATCTGTAAGTGATCGTTTTATCAAAATAAAAAAAGGTGATTATTATCATTTAAAAAAAAAAAATTGTATTCCCCTGGGAAAAATCGCATAGGTCTTTCTTTCAACTTTCTCATGCCGCGGCTCTCCTTAGGATACCTATATTGGTTTGTGATTGTTTGTTGTGTACAACTGCTCTCTCGTGTGGGTCTTGGTTAACGCTAGTTTTATGTGTTAGTTTTAGGTGCTCGTTTGCTAGTTGGAATTGCTAGTTCGTTGTGCACACTACTACTTTGGTTCTTGCAGTTTTTCTTCATCAAAAACTAGAGATTAGTTCATCTATGGCTCTTTGGTTTGATGGTTATTGCTAAGTGCATCCTGGTTCGTGGAGCTTGTTTTGTGCTTGGCGGTGTGCTTATTGTTTGGTTTCCGTGGCTGTGGTTTCTTTTGATTTCCTTTATTGGCACATAAAGTCTTATTTCCCTTTGGCTTTATTATCTTGAGTAAAAGTAAAAGTTTGCAATACATCTCGTCGTGCTCTTTGGTTAAGTTTAGAGGATTGTTTGCTTCTTAGTATTGTTCATGACAAAAATTGGATTCCCATATTCTAGCAGTCAAGCTATTAAGCCAAAACTATTTTTTTAGGACTCTTATGATCATTGGGAAGGACGAGAATTATGGGGTTACATTGAAAAAATTTAGGTGTGGCACCAATAGACGATAAGATGAGAGTACCCGTTATATCACCTACATGAGTAAAGCTCAAAAAGACATAGTTGGAAGTAGTGAGAATAAATATGGGGACTTATGACCTTACTGAGGGCACGACCCTAAATAAAACAGAATGACAAACCAGGATTCATGCAATCGACTCCAATTAGTTGAGACAAAGATTTGACGATGATGATGAATATAATATTCATAATAATAATAATACAATATTTATAACATTATGTTATATTATATTATATTATATCATAATAATAATAAATTAAAATATTATTTTATATTATGTTTAACTTTTTATATAACTGTTATATAATATTATTAATTGATTCTTTAAATTTGATTTGATGAATATTATTAGATCTATCCACTTAGAACATGATTACAAAGTATTCATATTTTACATATAGGTGCGGTTTGTATAAAGCTAAGGCTCTAAACAAACAAATATAAGCCCACCTTCAAATAATATGGAGAAATGTAGTTTTAATGTTGAAAATCTTTGATTATCCTTAAAATATATTTTCATCTTTAATTATAAATTTTAAAATATCAAAAATAGTGTAGATCGAGCAGATCTATGAAAATTTGAATAACTTAAAAATTAACGGTCAAAAAATGCATTACAATATGCACTATATTCAAAACTTGAAATCCATTTTTTTCTCAAGTCCATGTATCTTGAAGTCGAGATGATTAATTTGAGGATATGTGGGCATCAAAACAACCTCTTCTAATGATATTTTTGAGGTAGACTCTAATTTTATTGTTTAGAGCCTAGGCTCTATATAAACTTTTACCTTTACATATTTATATATAAAAAAATGTTTATATAAGGGTGAGGCTCTAATCAATCAAATTAGAGCACACCTTAAAATTTCATTAGAAAATACTGTTTTGATGTTGGAAAATCGTCAATTTGATAATCTCAACCTCAAGATGTATGAACATGAGAAAGAATACATTTTAATTATTAGATATAGTGCATGCTGTAATGTATTATCTAGACCATTAATTTTCAAGATTTTCAAGTGTTCATAGATCTGCTCGATCTACACTCTTTTTTAATTTTAAATTTTACAATTAAAGATGAAATATATTTTTAGGCTATCACAAAGATTTCTTATTCTGAAACAACATATTTCGGCACTATTTGAAAGTGCACCTTACTTTGATTGTATAGAGCATCGGCCTTATATAAACCACACCCTTTATATAGTTGTTAGAGATCATTCTGTCCACGTTCGTATCAAACTAGCAAAAACAAATCCTCTTCAAACGTGCCCACCACTCTCTCCTCTCTTTCTCTCTCTACCCGCCCACGACCCCTCACCTTAGTTAACAAGTCGCTCATTTAATCAGAACTTTTTAAAAAAAGCGGTTAATCTGTCAGTAAAAATACTCGATCTTTGTCAAAATTTGAAATAAATGTTTCAAAAAATCTTTCTTATTAATATACTCTTATTTTTTTTGAAAAGTTTAATATCTTTTTCATTGTTTATGAAATTTCTATTTCTATTCTCCCAAAACTTTCCCTGGTTCTCTAGATATGGAGGGTATTTTTTTGGCAGGTTATGGGTAGACAATAGTTAGCAAGTATGGGGTAGATAATTTCTTTTTAGAAAGATGAAAATTGAATTCATCTACCCAATAATAGAATAAATAATCATATTATTATTTAGAGATATATCACATTGAATATTTAAAATTTATATTTATAGGGAGATTATTTTTATACGGAGTGTTACTCCTAAATTAATTTTTTCTATACTGAGTGATATATATGTATATATTTAGAGTTTTAAAATTTTTAATATTTTAAATATATCCGATTTTTTACTCCAATTTTTGTAGTGTAAACCGATAGTTCGTGATCTCTTTACATGAAATATTTTTATCAATCCATATTTTTTATCCTACTTTATAAAATAAAAATGATTAGCTTCTGATTTCTTGGTGACATGGTTAGCCAATTTATTGATAATCTCCAACTTGCTAACTATGCTCTTCACCGCGTCCCCTACAAAACCAGTCAACCCCAACAATGGTAACAGCTCAGCTCCAACCCTCACCACCTACCCTACAAAACCACTCAACCCCAACAATGGTGGATAAAACCTTAGTAGACCTCCTACAAGCTTCAAAAATGGCAGCCACCCTCCATAGAAAGAGAGCCTTAGAAGCCAGGCGCCTGGCCAAAGAGCCTGGCCCTCTTGAACTCTTTCCTCGCAAGCTCCTCATTCTTCCACCCACAGTCATTCTCTTAGTGCTCTTGTATTTTTCGGTTTCTTCCACTCTTCTTTCGGTCTCCTTGTTCCATGTTTGTGTTTCCTCTCGAAAGCTCCATGTCTATTGCTTATCAGCTGCCACTGCCCCTATTTCTGGTCACCACCAACTTTATCAGACCTTCGACAAGGGTACCGAAGCTTCGCTCCCCTCCCTCTCCCAAAATTACAGCTACCCAATCGTCGACTCGACCGAATCTAGAGGCTACCAAAGAGGTGAGACCTTTGACAAAGACATCAAAGTTTCTCTCAACTCACTCCCACAAAATTACCCAGCACCAGTCGCCTACTCTGCCAAATCTAGCAGCAACCAAAGCGATCATACCTTCAACAAAGATATAAGGGCTTCTCTCGACTCATTCCCCCAAAATTTCAACACCCCAGTGGCTGTGTCTGCCAAATCTAGCCGAAGAGAAGAAAACTTTGACAAAAATATCAAAGCTTTGCTCCCCCATTTGCACCAAAATTCTAGGCAGCCAATTGCCGATACCGCCGAGACCAAAAGAGGAAGTCGAAGAGACCAGAACATACATATTAACCCTGTGGTAGAAGAACAAATGAAATCCCTCAGAACTTTGAGAAACCATGCCTTGACCAGGAACAAAACATGTCAAGGAAGAGGAATCTATGTATACGACCTCCCCTCTAAATTCAACAAGGACTTAGAAGACCAATGCGAGGACCTTATTCCATGGACCAACCTCTGCAGCTTCTTCTCCAACAAAGCAATGGGCGAGCCCATCCAAGAACTTGGACCCAATTGGTACAACACTTATCCATATTCTCTAGAGCTCATTTTTCACCGTAGAATGAACGCTCACCCCTGTAGAGTCTACGACCCAAGCCATGCTCTACTCTTCTATGTGCCATTTTTTGCAGGGCTAAATGCTATGAAATGGCACTATAGGACCAATGTGAGTAACGAGCTACAAGACCAACTTGGTCTAGAATTGGTGAGATGGCTAGATACTAAGTCCACCTGGAAGAAAAACCAAGGCAAAGACCATGCCTTTGTGTTGGGTGAAGTTACTTATAATTTTAGGAGAAGTAAAAATTCAACTTGGGGCACCAATTTTTTGGAGTTGGAAGCTTTGCAAAACCCTACAAAAGTCTTGATAGAGAGGCATCCATGGCACCCAAACGATGCAGCAATTCCCTACCCAACCTATTTTCACCCCCGTGTGGACCAAGACGTAAAATCATGGCAAACAACTGCAAGTTCATCCAAACGCTCCAAACTCATCGCCTTCGCAGCTGGCACACGTGAGGGCCAAGTAGGAGCTCTAAGAGCTCGTTTGATGGAGCAGTGCACACTTGCCGATCAAACGTGCAACTTCCTGAATTGCAGCCGAAGCGGCACGTGTGAGAAACCGGAGAGAGTGGTGAGTTTATTCATGGGGTCCGAGTTTTGTTTACAACCACCAGGTGATAGCCCAACAAGAAGGTCGGTGTTTGATGCTTTGGTGGCTGGGTGCATTCCTGTAGTTTTCGATCCTTTTACGGCGTATTACCAGTACGCTTGGCATTTGCCTGAGGAGAGAGAGAGGTGGTCTGTGTATTTGGATGGTAAGGAGGTGAGAGAAGGGAGGGTGGATGTTGTTGGGGTTTTGAAGGGGGTGAGGAGAGAGGAGAGAGAAAGGATGAGAAGGTTTATTTTGGAGGAGGTGATGCCAGGTTTGGTTTATGGTGCTGAGAGGGAGGGACTGGAGGGGTTTAGGGATGCCTTTGATATAACAGCAGATGCTTTGGTAGAGAGAGCCAGAAGAGAGAGTGGATTGTGATGCATTCCTCGCTCTCCACATTGGACGTTTAAAATTCGGTGTCAAAATAGTTTGTAGAAAAAAAATTCATGGGAGTACCATTTACTCTCTTTTTTAAAATAAAGAAAAGCAGGGCATGAAAAAAAAAAAAGCAAAGACTTGAACACAATCCCATGTATGTGTCGAGAAAACTAAAAGTACTATATATTTTCAAAAAGTGAGAGTTAAGTGGATAATATGAGACATGGAGCACTATTTTTAAAATTTGAAAATAAAATTTTCAGAGTAAAGGTGACTAAAACATTGAAAATAAATTAAGATGTTTTTCCCACAAACTTCCTTTTCTTTATATCCTTGCTAAAATACTTGTGCATTTGGTAGGATGCATTTGTTGTCTATTACCTCATCATTGTCAAAACTTTTTCCCAACTAATTGGGTCGACTATCGTTGTCTATTACCTAATTCTCCTAAGTTCCTAATTTCCAAAGTCAATATGCTCATACCTTGGACTTGAAATAAGGAATCCTTAGCTTCACTTGAAATATGGTATATTCTGATCCATAATAGAGACATGCAAATCCAACTTTACTTTATGTATAGTTAAGAGACAATAGCAGGGCATTTACAAAACAATCCATATAAGGATAATTCTCTTGTATGTTATTTTCTATGGTGTCCATGACCTTCGAAATTTTTCTTTCGAGGTATCTTATAATCCTTATGATGTCATGATGATCATCACTCTCCAATTAACAGTTGGAAGCAGATGGAAGCTGAACCCATTGTTCGAGTGATATCTACCATCACTCTATCTCCAACACTGTTCAACTCATGTTTCGTAAAATTGCCCGATCTAATCGTTAACCGCGTGATTAGATCGGAACTGACCAGTGGCCGGTTTTGGTTTTGGACGGTTAGGGAGATCAACTAGTATTTTAAAAAAAAAAATCAAAAAAATGTATATAAATTTTCAAAGATAATGAATTTGATTTGTAATGTATTTTTAAATATTCTTTACATTATGGTAAAGATTAAAATTGTTTTGGTCATTAATACTCACTTTTAAATTTTTCTATTTTTTAAAAAAAATTTAAAAATAACCCTTGAAAAATATAAAATGGGTTAAAATCCATTCTTTTCATAAATTTTCAATTTTATTTGAATGTGGTTTGTTTTAATCATTTTTTATATGCTTTTCATATTTTAGTAGATTTTTTTGTTTTTTTTTGTTTTAATACTTTTTTTACTCCTGAAACTTGTCCGGTTAGAGCAGTTGAATCGGCCAGTTTATCGATTAAATCGGTTAAACTGCTTCGAAGCCCATATCCGATTAACCGTTACTGCTCGATTTTGCAAACACTAGTTCAACTATTGGCTGGACGGTAATGACCGTGACGAGTGCATATTCCCGTAATCCTGAACTCGCAGTATCTCCAAGCACCGGTCATTAATAGCAGTTCACTTCTGACATTTGTATTTTAGCATTCAACATTTCTTGCGCTATTGAAGCCAAGCATCTAATGTGGTATCATAGCTAAGCTTGATTCAAATACCACGCTCTGTTCGAATTTGTAGCAAAACTATATCCAGCATACAAAAATTAGTTAATCATTTGTGAGGAATCGATCTTCGAGTTTCGATGAAAAATCTGGATCTATATACAATTAAAAACCCTAGATTTGCAGTAAAATTGTAGTGGTGCCATAGCAATCACTGCAGTGGTACCATAGATATCAGTGAAGCAACATCATTGTTCAAGTGTCAGTACATTTGACATTTACATGTAATCACTTGCAACCCTAAATTTAGGGATTTTGTTCTCTAGGACTCACGAAGGATCCGTTGGTGGTCAAGGGTTCTGTCCGCTATCAAGGATCCTCAGCGGTCAAGGTTCGTCAATGGTCAAGGCTCCATTGACGGTCAAGCGTCAGCAATCAAGGCCCCACCGCTTGTCAGGGTTTCGTCAGCAGTCAAGGTTCCACTAGTTGTCAAGGTGTTGTCGGTGGTTAAGCTCCCACTGGCTATCACCCATTAGTTAATATGAGCGACCGGTGATCAAAGTGATTTATTGTTTGTCAAGATGTTCCATTCGACGGTCCAACCTACAAGGAGGTTTTCATCCTTACTCGTCCTATGACTGTTAGGCTCACTACCCCAACAAGCAGTGATAGGGATGACCACGGCGTGTCAAAGTCAAGGGAAAACCATGCTCTGATACCACTTTATGGCGCTCACCATTGGAGCTCTCTCATGCGAATGAGAATGCACACAGTAGATCCCAAATTTATGGGACAAAAAAAATATAATATTTGTGCACGTGTATGAATGAAAAAATAAATGTAATAAAGCAAATAAAATAAATAATGACTTATTGGCACTGAACTTTTCCAGCTATATCCATAAGAGATAGATGAAATCCACTAGTCATGTTAATGAAGTACAATGATCCTCCAAGGAACAAATTTACTTTTTCAGGCTACATCCATAGGAGATAGATGAAATCTACTGATCATATTAATAGAGTACAATGATCCTCCAAGACACAAGCTCTCTGACTTCTTCTAGAGACTCTCTCTCTAGGCTTTTTCTTTTCTAAGGTTCTCTATCTATGAAGCTTTCTCTCCATCTAGGTTATCTGTAATGTAGATTTTCTCCATGTAAGAAGTACTACATAACCCACATAAACGCTTTTTCTTCTCTTTTATCTCTTTTTTCTATCTACAGTGAAAATGTTTAAGAAGATGCTCACTTGCTCTCCCAAATTTGTTTCTCTTCTATTCTTCTATGTACACAAGAAGGCTCATTGTATCTCTCTCTATCTGTAACGGAGAGGCACCCCAAGAAGAGGAACTCAAGAATATGATTAGTTGAAGGAATATCTGTCTCACATAGGTTTCTTTTTGTATATTGGTAAGTCACTATTTTCTATCTCTAGGATATATATGGGCAAGTCACTATTTTAGTCTCCAAGTCAATCTTGGACGAAAACAAACTCTCCCTCCCAACAAAAGTTTGCATTAAAATTCTGTGTGTCATCCTACAAAAAGATAGCAATAAAGAAAAAACAAGTACTGATAATGTGAAACCGAATACAAACAATACAATACTGCTTTTCTTTCTTGGGTAGGTTAGCAGAGGGATTCAAAACTCAAGACTCAAGATGTAGTGCTGCAATCTTTAACATCCTAATCATTTAAGTCCCCAATCCCAATCCCAATCCCAATCCCGATACTGATGATATTGTTAAATTTTTTTATTTCAGATGAAAGTGACAAGCTCTAGGATGAAATGTTCAAGCCTCAAAATCTTTATCAGATCAACCGAGTTAGAAAAGAAATGACTAATGTCACCATTAGGTCTTTATGGCTATAGAGTATGGTTTAAGGGAGAAAGTTTTCAAGTTTTAGGGAAATGACAGCCCTATTAGACAGCCCAATAACTCATAATAATAGAGCATATTCATGGGGGCTTGAAGTTGGGCAATTCCAGTGTTACAACCCATTAAATTAGCTTAGTTAGGGTCAATATGACTAAAAAAACTTTGGGTTTGATTGAGTTCTAGGCTTGATATTCCTAAGGGCGTATCGCGGAGGATAACAAGGATGTTTTCTTACTAGAAACCTGTGAATTTTAGTGCACATACAATATGAAAATAACATTTGCGTGCTTGATAAGGTCCACCCCTGAATTGCAATATATTGAGGTATGTGGGACCTGTAACTAAGAGTTTCTTGACCAAGCTATACACCTAAATGTTATATGAGTAATCATCATGTGAGGCCCTCCCCTACCCCAACTGCTATGAGACCCCTGCTTATGGCCATAGGATTCCCGCCCACATCTCGAGGAATATGGAATGTCAGGTCGGCCGGTTAATCCATAAAAGTCACGAGAGAGTGATTACTTATCCTAGTTTCCCTTGCATCAAAGGTTTCCCCTGCTTCGAGCTCTTCAGGCGAGGTTTTTGTGGTCGAGAGAGGTAGATGAAATTCTGATTGGGTTTTAAAGAGAGAGAGCTGAAATTCTAAATGGATTTTAGAGAGGTAAAAAAGCATGCCTCAAATATCCATTTGAAAAATGTTCTTTTGATGGTAAAAAACCTATTAATTGATCATTTCGACTTCAAGATATGTGGATACTTTTTTTAAAAAAAATGTACCAAAAAAAGCTCATCTTGTATTGCTTTATCTAGACCATCTATATTCTCAAAACATTTCATATGTTTGTAAATCTGCTCGATCAATGCAATATTTTTAGTTTTAAATTTCATTATTAGAAGTAGTTTTTCAGGTCATCATTGAAATTTCTGACATCAAAATTACATCTTTCGATGAGCTTTAGAGATGTGCCTTAATTGATTGTTGCAAGTTTACACATTATACAAACCACACCCTATGTATAAAATGCACCTAAAAAATCCTCTAGAGGGGAATGTTACTATGTTGAACAACCCTCCAATTAGTCATCTCGACCTCGAGATGTGAAGATATGGAAAAACAAAAAGGAAAAAAAAAGAAGGGAACTTTCAGCACTAAAAGTAGTGCATCTTGTAACAAGTTATATGGTTCGTCTAATTTCAAGATTTTCAAATGTTAATAGATTTGCTCGACATGCATCCTTTGTGAAATTTTGAATTTTACAATTAGGGATAAAAATAGATTTTAAAGTCATCATAAAGTTTCCAATACCGAAACTACATCTCTAAATAAATTTGAGAAGTGGGTCTTACTTCTAAGCTGTAAGGAAGACACCTTATACAAACCTCACCCTATATTTGTTTTCATTTTATCACACGGGTGGCAATGGACCCAGAACTGACTTGGGACCTACCGGGTATACCCAACACGGGTTCGGGTTTGGGTCCAATATTTGGACCCAACCCGTACCTGACATGTACCGGTAAACTTTTGGAGATAAAATAGTTCAAACCCTATTCGTTTCGGTATATTAAATATCATATACAATAAGAACTCGTAGTCATTTTTAGCTATTAAACAACAAATCAGATGACTTGAAATGTAATAGCTAGTGATTGTGACCTTGTTGGGTCTATGATGGTAAAAAAATGGCAAATAAAAAAAAAAATTCATAGTGAGGGTAGCAATGGACCTGACCAGACCCTGGACCCCGATGGGATAGATCTAGGACCTGAAAGAACGGGTATGGGTCCAACTTTTGGACCCGACGGCTCAGGTCCAAGTCCAAAACTTGAATCCGAATACTATTCGGGTCTGAGTCTAGGTCTAGCCAGATCCAGCCCATACTTGACTAGTGGCCACCCCTATTTTATCCTTCTTTCACTACCAGTCTTACCGGGCAATTTCCTATCCTGAGGAGTCACCTGCAAGGGCATGCCTCCTAGTCCAAGTAAAGAATAGTACTTTATAGGTAAAAGGATGAGGTTTACGTAAGGTTGCCTACTTATATTGAAGAAGTAAGGTATACTTCTAAATTTTGTAGTTTTAGTGTCAGAAGCCTTATGATTCCATGAAAATTTTGTAGTTTTAGTGTCAAAAGCCTTATGATTCCATGAAAATTTGTACTCCACCCTAGTTATAAAATTGAAAGCTTTAAAATTAGTAGAAACCAAGCAAATCTATAAACATTTGAAAATCTTGAAAATAGACGGTCCAGATAACTTATTAAATAATGCAATAATGCACTATTTGTTTTGATTTAAAATTCTTTTTTTCCTCTATATTCATACATCTCAAGGTCGAAATGATTAAAAAAAAAATTCAACATTATAACACTCTTTTTCAATTGGATTTTTTAGGTGCACTTTACTTTCTATAATATAAGATGGTAACCTTATTTAAACTTTTTCCTTATCTGAATTGGATATAAGAATAGTTGAAAACACCAAGTCGTGTGCATATTTTTTTCACAGTTATATGCATACTATTTTATGATGTAGTCAGCTCAAGCCCTTTTATGATACATGGTAAAAGTGCACTTGAAAACCCTTCTAAAAGTAGTTCTAGTGATGGTAACTCTTATAAGCCTGAAAATCTACTTTCACCAATAATTGAAAAAATCGGATCTCTTAAAATAGTATAGACCTGGCAAATAGAATGTCTAACTATCATTTTTTTACTTTTACAAAACACACTTGTTTTAGAGATTTGAATCCATTTCTTTTGAAAATCTATAATTGTCAAGTAAAAGGGTCTTCTAACACTAAAACTGCAATCTCCATCGAGGTTTGAGCTTCTCCCTCCATTAACATTTTCAATTATCATATATTGTGCATTAAATCGTGTCAAAAATATAATAAATGGGGACATGTCAATTTAAAAGTTAATTGGGTTAACCATATCTGCAAGTTTGCGAGATGTGCAAATTGAATTATGATATTCAATTATTAGGACAACAGAAATGCTCAAGTCAAAGTTTTGTTAATTTGAACAAATCTCCTCTACTTTAGGCATGATTTTGACCTGTTAATGACCACGACAGGCCTCCTTATTTGATTACCTTTATTTAAACAAGGCTCTACGTACCCAAGATTTTTAAACGCATTATCAATATTTGATATTGTTGACAAATGGATAATGTGCTTTTACCAAGCCCAACCAAGTGACCAAAAAACCGCAGTAAATGTTGACGAGGTATTTATATCCCTAACATAACGCTTTTCCTATTGGGAAAAGTTTATATAGAGCCGAGGCTCTAAACGATCAAATTTGAGCCTACCTCAAAACTCTCAATAGAGGAGGTTGTTTTGATGCCTAAATATTTTCAAATTGAGCATCTAGACATCAAGATGCATGGAAATGAGAAAAAAAATGGATTTCAACTTTTGAAAATAGTGTATTTTGTAACATATTTTTGGACTGTCAAATTTCATGATTTTCAAGTGTTCATAGATCTATCGATCGACACTATTTTTTGGAGCTTTAAAATTTGTAAATAAATATGAAAATATATTTTATGGCTTTCCCATATTGAAACCATATTTCTCGATATTATTTGAAGGTAGGCTCTAATTTGATTGTTTAGAGCCTGGGCTCTATACAAACCGCACCTTTTGCTATTTGTTGTATTCTTTTATTTCCTTCTTCTCTCGGGATTGTATACAACGATGCCGTTTATCTTTGATACATGACAATTACTTATAATAATCAAATGTAAAATTTGATAGCTTGGGTGTATCATAAAATTCAAAAAAATTTCCTTTGAAATTTGAGCTTAATAAACAAGATAAATGCAGCCACCCAACTTCACATCCAATGGTCAAGATCAATTGTGACCATAGTCCAAAGATAAATAGTTTCATTGTATACTTTTCTCCCTCTCTTTCTCTATCAAGCAGTCACATACAACTTTCTAAGTGATATTGGTTTCATTCATGAATGCGTACAGCGCACTTTCGTGGGAACACATTCTAAATTTACTCCCTTGAGAAAAATGTTAGGATTTTTTATGATATGAAATTTGTGGCCAGTTTTTGAGTACCAATTGGGCGGTAAAAAGTTAAATTTTTTAGCTTACATACACTTAGATCGGACCGTCCAAAAATTTGAAACATCTCCATTCAATCTTAAGAGGTTATTTTTTAAGGCGACAATGCAGAAGGTGCATATGAAATTTCTTTCCTTTTCCACCGTTCATCACTAGCTAGATTGAGGAGGTTAGATTCACAAAATTTGGGATTCCGAAAATACACGCAAACAGGTTTTCCCTGATGGAGGGGATGCAAGACAGGGTTTCAATTGAAGGATTGAATATCTGATATGTTCCAATGGGAGCAATGGTCCTGGCCTCATCTACTATAGGGAAATTTATCATAATATATACGAGTGATAAACTCTATTCAACATTTTCCCCATATTGTGTGATTTAATTTCAACATTTTTTTTTTGGTAATTCCGTAGGGAAGACAGGCCCTTACCCATTTTTTCAAGTAGATTAGGAGTTAGCTTTTTGAAGGTATTAGTGGGGTGAAGTAGTCGTGAGAATGGAAATCACAACGTGGTGACTGGGTTGTGGGGGTGCTACCACCCCACCCCCACCCCCACGCCCACCCCAACCCCAACCCCAACCCCAACCCCTTTCCCAATTTAATTTCAACATACCTATCAAAAGATACATGATCATGAGTTAACCGTTGTAAATGTGTAAAATATTGAATAATTCATCTCTCATATTTGATAAATTTTTCGTAATTAATTATACTATTGTCTACAAAAATACGATTCATCTTTTGTACGTTGAGGTTACAACTATCCCCACTCATTAGATATCAAATTGGATGGCTTGGGGAGAGTCACCAAGTTCGAGATTTTGTTTTTAGAACTTCATGTATTCAATGATAATATTACAACCACCCATTTTGAAATTTAAGGTACAAGAATGATTGTGACCTCCATGTACAAAAGACAAAAGGTGCGGTTTCTATAAGGTTACAACCTTAAACAATCCAATTAAGGCGCACCTCTAAATTGTATCATAATATGTAATTTTGGTGTAATAAATTCTTAGGATAATCTGAAAATCTACTTTTATATCTAATTATAAAATTTTAAACTAAAAAAATAGTTAAATCAAGTAGATTTATTAACATATGAAAATATTGAAAATGGACCATTTATATAATGTGTTATAAGATGCATTATTTCTAGGACTCAATATATATATAGTCATCCATCTCAATGTCGAGATGATAAATTAGAAAGGACATTAAAATAATATTTTCCGATAGATTTTTGAGGTGCATCTTTACTTCTACGATAGATTTTTGAGGTGCATCTTTACTTCTAAATTTTAAAGTTGCAACCTCATATAAACTTTTTTGAAAGATAAATGGCCTCTTTGTAGACGGTCCCTTATATTTACCTCCATTCTTTCGCATCTCTCTCTCTCTCGAATGGCGCTCTGTGGCACTCTCTTTCTTCTTTTCTTACCGTTGTAAGATGCATGTCCCTATTTCATTGCTCCTAAATTAAGACACTGTCGCAAGTTGTAACGCATGACTCCCTCAACGCTAATTCTCGGATTCACTCCCCCTGCACTCGTATAAAATCAAAGCCTCTTCCAACGTGCCCACCCCTCTCTCCTTTCTCTCTCTCTCCCACCCCTCACAACGTGACTGCATGTCCACCCATCAAGAGCTCAGCACCAACCCACACCACCTCCCTTACAAAACCACTCAATCCCAACAAAATGGTGGCTAAGACCTTTGAAGATCTCCTACAAGGTACAAAAATGGCAGCCACCCTCCTTAGAAAGAGAGCTTTAGAAGCCAGGCGTCTGACCAAAGAAACTGGCCTTCTTGAACTTTTTCTTCGCAAGCTCCTCATTCTTCCAGCCACTATCATTCTCTTAATGCTCTTGTGTTTTTGGGTTTCTTCCACTCTTCTTTCATTCTCCTTCTTCCATTTTTGTATCTCCTCTCGAAAGCTCGATGTCTATTGCTTATCAGCTGGCACTGCCCCTATTTCTAGTCACCACCAACTTTATCAGACCTTCGACAAAGGTATTGAAGCTTCTCTCCCCTCCCACTCCAAAAATTACAGCTACCCAATCCTCGACTCCACCAAATCTAGTAGCAATCAAAGAGGCGAGACCTTTGACAAAGACATCAAAGTTTCTCTCAAATCACTCCCACAAAATTATGTTGCCCCAGTTGTCGACTCTGCCAAATCTAGCAGCAACCAAACTGATCATACCTTCAAGAAAGATACAAGGGCTTCTCTCAACTCGTTCCCCCAAGATTTCAGCACCCCAGCGACTGATTCTGCCAAATCCAGTCAAAGAGAAGAAAACTTCGACAAAGATATCAAAGCTTTGCTCCCCCATGTGCCCCAAAATTCCAGCCAGCCAATTGCCGATACCACCACGACTAACAAAGGAAGTCGAAGAAATATGAACATACAAGCTCTCTCTGCCGTAGAAGAACAAATGAAAGCCCTCAGAACTTTGAGAAACCATGCCTTGACCAGGAACAAAACATGCCAAGGCAGAGGAATCTATGTATACGACCTCCCCTCTAAATTCAACAAGAACTTAGAAGACCATTGCGAGGGCCTTCTTCCATGGACGAACCTTTGCAACTTCTTCTCCAACAAAGCAATGGGCCAACCCATCCAAGAACTTGGACCCAATTGGTATAACACTCATCAATATTCTCTAGAGCTCATTTTTCACCATAGAATGAACACACACCCTTGTAGAGTCTATGACCCAAGCCAAGCTCTACTCTTTTATGTGCCATTTTATGCAGGGCTAGATGCTATGAGATGGCACTTTAGGACCAATGTGAGCAATGAGCTCAAAGACCAGCTTGGTCTGGACTTGGTCAGATGGCTAGATACTAAGCTCACTTGGAAGAAAAACCAAGGCAAAGACCATGTCTTTGTGTTGGGCAAAATTTCTTGGGATTTTAGGAGAACAAATGGAGGAAATCCAAATTGGGGCACCAGTTTTTTGGAGTTGGAAGCTTTGCAAAATCCTACAAAAGTCTTGATAGAGAGGCAACCATGGCACCCAAATGATGTAGCAGTTCCCCACCCAACATATTTTCACCCACGTGTGGACCAAGACATAAAACTATGGCAAACGACTGCAATTTCATCCAAACGCCCCAAACTCATTGCATTAGCAGCTGGCACACGTGTGGGCCCAGTAGGAGGGCTAAGAGCTCGATTGATAGAGCAGTGCACACTTGCCGATCACACGTGCGAGTTTCTGAACTGCAGCCAAAGTCGGACGTGTGGGAAACCGGAGAGAGTGGTGAGTTTATTCATGGGGTCTGAGTTTTGCTTACAACCACCAGGCGATAGCCCAACAAGAAAGTCAGTGTTTGATGCTTTGGTGGCTGGGTGCATTCCTGTAATTTTCGATCCTTTTACGGCTTATTACCAGTATGCTTGGCATTTGCCTGAGGAGAGAGAGAGGTGGTCTGTGTATTTGGATGGTGAGGAGGTAAGAGAAGGGAGGGTGGATGTTGTTGGGGTTTTGAAGGGGGTGAGGAGAGAGGAGAGAGACAGAATGAGAAGATTTATTTTGGAGGAGGTGATGCCAGGTTTGGTTTATGCTGAGGGGGAGGGACTCGAGTGGTTTAGGGATGCCTTTGATATTACACTTGATGCTTTGGTAGAGAGAGTGAGAAGAGATAGTAGAGTGTGAGTTGGGGAGTTGTTTGGTGCATTTTTCATTTTGGAAAAGTATACAAAGGAGACCGTTTATTTTTTATACAAAGAGGTCAGAATTGTTCTTGTCCATCATATTTCAAATGGAATGGCGGTAAGAGTGTCGTTAACTAGACTCAAAGTTTAAAAAAAAATTCTCAAACTTCGTAGAACATTTCAAACCATTTGATTTTGGACTAAGAGTAGTTCTGACTTACCTCCTTTAACAAAGATAAATGGTCGCATGGTATATTTGGTTTTTGGTTTTTCCCTCTTTCTTTAGCGCCAGCCTCTCTCTCTACCATTTGCTCTACCCACCTGTCTTTCTTCACCTTCTCTCTGAGGTATTCGTTGTTCGATTAAATCTTCGTAGTTTTTTTTATCTTATTAAATTTTCACAATATCTTATCTTATGTAAATAATCGATCCATGGGAGTACCCATTTATTCTCTTTTCTAGAGAGAGAAAACCAGAGCATGAGAGGGATCGGAATATGTTTATTTGCGAACTCTCATTCATATGTAATTATTTCAGCGCCATTGAAAACGCTGGTTTTGTATTAGTGGAATAAGAATGAAAGGAGATTCTTGAAACAAAACTTGCTGTTATATGTGAATTCTCTCATTCATTTGTATTTATTTCGCTGGTTTTGTTTCAGTGGAGAAGAAAGAAGAGACATTCTTGGACAAAAACTTAGGGGTTTTATTTTTGTGAAATTTACGAAATAATTCTGTTTTATTCCCAAAATTTAAAATCAGTCTCTTCTATTTCACGTACTTTAAGTCACACTTTCTAAAGTATACTGCATTTTAATTTAATCTATTTTTCTATATATCGGATTAAACTTAAACGTTTAGCATGCATACATCTCACCATCATGTACTTGCAATAAAATAAAATAAAAAATTAATTTGAAAAAAAATAATTTTTTATCAAAATACCCCTAAATCTTGTAGGTGATTCTTTGTCATTTTTTATTATTAAAATTTATTTATTTTCTCAAATGCATGGTAGCAAAAAGTTTGGATGCCCAAGACTTGAACACAATCTGATGTATCCAAAAAACTAAAATTAAAATTAAAATATATTATACACTTTCAAAAAGTGAGGCTTGAGTGTATAATACAAGACATAGGGCACTATTTTTAAACATTGAAAATAAATTAAAATGTTTTTTTCCAGCAAATTTCCTTTCTTGGTATTCTTGCTAAAATACTCGTGCATATTGTAAGGATCTATTCGTTGTCCATTACCTAATTCTCCAAATTCCCAAAGTCAAAATGCTCAGTTAATACCTTAGACTTGAAATAGAGCATTGGCTGCACTTGAAATATGGTATATTCTGATCCGTAATAGACAAGAGACAATAGCAGGGCATGGCCATTTACAAAACAATACATACAACGATAATTTTCTTGTATGTTATTCTCTATGGTGTCCATGACCTTTTAAATGTTTCTTTCGGGGTATTCTATAATCCTTATGATCATGGAGAATCCATTCACGACGATCATCACTATCCAATTAACAATGGCAAGAAGATGGAAGCGGATCCCATTGCTGGAGAGATATCTACGATCACTCAGTCTCCAACACTCTTCAACTATTGGCTGGATGGTGATAACCCTTATGACCGCAAATTCCCATAGTCGTGAGGAACACAATATCCAATTTTTATTATGAAACAGACCAACCCGGCATTTTCAGAAGGTTACCAGAACACCTTGCTGTTTCCAGCACTATTTAGAGTACACATTCAAACTTCTAGTGAGATATCACACTAAAAGCATGCATACAAAGATCACTTTTTACTGAAAAGATCAATAGACAAGTAATAAACTCTACATATATGGATGTGAATCTCGAAGCTCGAAGAGATTATTGATAAGATTAGGAAGGTGCAGGCTCAAACCTGATAGACTAGTCATCTGGGCTTTCGTCTTTGCCGAGAAGGGAAATTTTTGCAACCTCAAGAGCAGCCTCCACAGAGGTTGCACTTTGAAGCTTGGCTTTGTCAATAACTGGCTGGCTTCTTGCTAGTTTAGGAAGAAACTCAAATTCCTGGTAAATAAAAAATGGTATTGGAGAATAAAAGACAGGAAAAAGTTTGTGGAAAGAAGAGTTATGTGCGACTCAGAAAATAAATCGATTCCCCACTAGATGGAAAGTACAAAACCTATATCAATCTCGAAAATTTATTTTATTAATACTGAGCTCATAGTCTCTCCAAGCACCGAGCAGTATACTTCTAACATTTGTATTTTACTCTTTAACATTTCTTGCACTATTGAAGCCAAGCCAATGTCAAGATGTATATTAGTCTTGCACTTTGTGTAATTTGTTAATTGGTTTGAGAGTAGTTTTGTCATAATATAGTAAGCAGATGCTTCGCAGACTCGATCAGACCCTGGCATTTGTGTACATGGGATTGATCCTAATTTGAATCAATGAGAGTTATGTCCAAGCTTCTTAAACCCTAATGAGGTATCAAAGCTAAGCTTGAATCAAATACACTTTTTTCGAATTTGTAGCAAAACTTACCTAGCATACAAAAATCAGGTAATCCTTTGTGGGAAATCATCTCCGAGTTTGGATGAAAAATCTGGATCTATATACAATTCAAACTTTCAAAGCCCAAGATTTGTGATAAACTGTATCGTAGCAGCATTCTAGCACAACTGTAGTAGTACCACAGCAATCACCCCAGTGGTACCATAGATATCACTGAAGCAATATGATTATAAAAGTGTCAGTACATTTGACATTTACATATCATCACTTGAAACCCTAAATTTAGGGATTTTGTTCTCTAGTTCTCCCAATAGACATTTACATAGTATTCCCTCCAGTTCCTTTAAAAGGAAATCAATTCCACTACATTGCTAATGGTTTTAAACTTGATATTGGCAGAACAGATTCAATTAACACTCGGCTGTTTAAAATGTCCAATGTATTGTTTGTTTCTCACTTCCTCAGTTGACCATGAATGTCCGATATGTTTGACAGTTAGCTAATCAAAATGATTGTGTTCGCGTGATACAAGAATCTCAAGAAGTTAATTGGAGAGATTATAAAGTAGGTCAGCTCTTTTACATAGATTACTTTTTGGAGCCTACTAGTAGCATTTCATCAGTTGCATTACTGCCACCTCAGTTGGCATCTCTGGCATAGGTGTGAAGGTCATCTTAGTGCTAACAGAAACAAGAACTGTTTCAAGTTGGGATCTATTGCTTCTTCATGTAGTTTTCCTGAGAATTCCAATAATGAATTAGATTGTGGAAAAATGCTAGTTGACTAAACTGTTAGCAATGCATTCCCTGTTTCTCGAAAGTAAAAAGTAAGAATAATTTTGATCTTATTTATTCTGATATGTGGAGCCCTTCTTCTGTTTTATCCGATAGTGGTTCCCAATGTTAATGTTATTTTTATACATCAACACTTAAGAACAAAATATGATGATATTTTTATGGATGATTTCCCTTGTACTACTTGGGTATTGAAAAAACTTGTTATTTTTCTGATGAGTTTGTTACCGTGAACAAAACAATTCAAACCCAGTTTGAAAGAGAACATTAAGACTCTAACGATACCCTAGGAGTGAATCCTTATCTAAGAAGTTTCAAGATTTCTTTGAAGTAATAATTGTCTCATCCACCAGTGCACATGTCCACATGCCCCAAACTAAAATGGGATTCCTCGTGCATTACTTCTACAATCCAATGTTCCTGGTGGTTTGTGAGTACAAGCTGTTTTGACTGTTGTTTATCTTACCAATAGAATTCCTATAAAGTTCTCAGTAATGTCTCTCCTATTGAGAGCACCAACCAAAGTATTCCAAGTTGCATGTTTTAGGACGTTTGCCTTGTCACATTGAACAATATTGAACGGAATAAGCTCAGGGCTCAATCTCTTCACTGTGTTTTTGTCGATATGACACCACGCAGAAAGGTTATCGTTGCTACGACCCATAAAATGATTTTAGTTGTTTCCATTCATGTTTTTTTATTTGAATAGTCTTTTACTCTTAACAACTCTAAAGGTTCCAAACCTCAGGCATTCACTTAATACCTCAATTTCCAGTCTTCCAGACCTTATGCATCTGGTTCTTCCTCAAAATCCTGCACCATCTGTTCTAGACATAGTAAGTCTCTAACTGTCCATCAGAATATCACAAGTGATGCAGGTTCCAGTAACATTGTCCAACATTTGATTCTGTTGAGATTATTGCGTATTAACATCAGGTACCCATTTCTACTTTTAAAAATGTTATTCTCAAGTCTGTCAGAGTTTCTATTCCTCTTATGGTTTTTAGCCTACATCTCTGTCATAACATCCAGTGCTTCTCTATTTTATATTTACGAACCTACTAAACATGACTGTTGGATGCATGCTATGGCTGAGGAACTTCCGGCTTTGAACAAAGTGATACTTGTGACATAGTCCCTCTTCCACCTAGAAAGAATCTCATTGATACTAATGTGGATTTATAAGGTTAAGACCTTACCAGATGATAGCATCGGCAACTGGTATAAACCTCTTCTTGTGGCTAAAGGAGACACCGTAGAGAATGGTTTGGACATTTGCTCCAGTCACCAAACTTACAACAGTTCATGTTGTTTTATTAGTTGCAGCTGCGAGACATTGGAATTTGAATCAAATAGATGTGAGTAACGATTTAATGTCATTCTTCAAGAAGAAGTTTATATGTGGCCTCTACCACGATACATGGCCCCCCTAATTTAGTTTGCTGGATAAAAGGAGTCACTTATGGCTTCAAACAAACTCCTCGAGCTTGGTTCCATTATTTCAGGCTAGTTGTCATTCAGGGGGGATTCACTCAATGTTCCACAAATCCTTATTTATTTGTGTGTTATTCATGCTCAAAGGCAACAGGTTGCTTGTCTATGTCGATTATGTTGTTCTTACTCGTTATAGTATAGCTACAACTTTCTTTTATAAAACACGCTTTATAGCAGCAGTCTCAAGTGAAAGACACGGGATTTAATTATATTTTCTTGGTTTAAAAATTATTGGATCTGCTTGAGGATCATTCTTACTAGGCGCAAGTAAGCAATATATAAGTTATGCAGTTTATTTTGTTAGCCAGTTTGTTTAGGCTCCTCGCAATTCATATGGTGATTTATTACATCGTACGGAATTATCCAAGCCACACCTGATCATGATCTCTTTTTTTCAGCATCATCTTATCTTCAGCTTGTTGCATTTTCTGACTCAAACTGGGCTGGCTGTCCAAACAATCGTGGATTTACAACAAGGTATTGTACTTACTCCTGATAATTCACTTGTTTCTCGACAGTTCCAGAAACAAGATGTGGTTTCAAAGCAATGGCTGAAGCTTAGTAATGTGATATGACTTTTGCCTCTGATGAAATTCTCTAGATCTGCATACTTACTTTCTTGTTTGGGTGTCCCTCCTCCATAGCCTGTGTCTCTCAATGGGAATATTTTGTCTGATTAGGATTGTCACTCATTCTATATTTCATGATCAGACCCAAGTATATTGGGTTCATTGTCATCCAATTAGAGAAAGATTTAATGATAACCTTCTCACTCACTAGATACTCCTTCTGAAGATCAACTTACTGACCTATTTACCAAAGCGCGTACTGAACAGTGACATGATTATCTTGTTAGCAAACTGACATGTACTTTAGTCATTGTAGGTTGTTGATTAGTTTGCAGGTTATTTTGCCATATTGTTGTACATGGGTACGTATGTTCTCTGTACAACCCATCCACTTGTATAACGGGATTAATTCCTAATTCTAATAAAAGGAATTATGTCCAAGTGTCTCTAATTCTAACAGTGATCACATTAATATGATCTAAGTATCATACTGAAAAATGATTGACTTCAAAATTTCTGTTTTTATACAAGTGTAATAGGAAACATGATCAACAATTTGAGAGAAAAATGACTCCTAAAGTAAGTCTAGGAAAAAATGAACACTAAGTAATACCTCAGGGCTGCCACTCTCAAGGAACACTCCTTTTAATCTTCCTGTAGTACAACATAATTATAAACATGTAAGCAGGCCTTCGATGCACGAAGATAAATTAACATCAAAATGTTTAGCATAAGCATTCACCAGAGTCAAGCCAGAATGTAGCAATCTTAGGATCAAAGCCTCCGACCTCTATTGTCTCTCCAACTGATTACATAAAAAAATGAAAAGGCGGCATTAGAACACTTGATCAAGCAGAATATGAGTTGTATAGGGATAAATAAGCTCAATACAAGGAGAAAACGGAAAAGGGAATAGGAAAATATGCTTAAGTTACTAGGAATCACCATTATCTCCAAAGAATTGCCACCAAACTTTTCTTGAGCTACCTTCATACTCAAATACCCTAGAGTAGAAGTATGGTAGGTAATCATATCTGGTTTTCACAAGAGGGCCAAAATTGTAAGAAGTTATCTTCTTAAAACAGGTATAAAGCACAGTTTTGGACACAAATAAATAAGAAGGAAGTTGCCATACACGGATAGTGTATGTGGTTTACAGCGGTGATATCTATGATCTGTTCTCAACAAAAGAAGGTGGAGACTAAACGCAATTACTGGTTACAGATATTCACATCGATACAGATAACATCCACCATCTGTTGTTGAAAACGAATGAGGGATGGTCGGGCTCTTTACTAAATGTAAACATGTACAGGCCGTGCATGGCATAATGTCCCGTGGATACTAATCAGGGATAGAATGTTAGTCTTACGGCTGAGTGTGTATGCTCAATAGTGCTTTAACACAATGTTGAGCAGACTTCCGAGCATGATCTACATGCTCCACACGTACAATTCGGTCATATATCTGCAAAAATGTGAAACTAGTGAATCTGCATATCCTTGGTTCTATGACAAAAAGAGAAGGCAGTTTTGAGGTTGATAAGATATACCTTCAAAGGAAATGCTGCTACATCCCCAATAGAAAGAATACCAGGAATGCTAGTTCTGAATTGACTATCTACCTGAAAAACATTTCCTAAGTTGTTCAGCAGAAATGAGTTTAGCAAAGAAAGAAAACATGTACCCTTAAACGAGTTATGTAAAGAAAAAAAAATTCGAAATGGGGGAGAAATAGATTATCATAGGGGAAAGATGTACTAGTTACTACAACCATATGTAGAGAAAACTTGCAGCACTATGAATCACAAAACCATCAATCACACCATTTAAAGTCAATGAAGGCATCGGGTTAATTCTTGACTAAGCCCAACAATAAAATGAAGAGAGCAATGGTAAATGTTAGCTTAATTACCCATTTCCCCTACCTCTGACAAAAAGGAAAGGCATTTTGTTGTTTGTAAGAAATTTTACTAGCGATGGCAAAGGAGATAAATTAGTCAGTCTGACTTATGGCCGGTCAATTAGAGCAGCCTCAAAAATACATACTTGTCCAGCCCCTTTGACTATCGAATAAAATAGAGGCACATCTAGGCCGGATATAGATACATAAAAAAGAAACAAAACATTTAAATGAATATATTCTTTGTCACTTGAATTTATGAGAATATGAAGTGCAAGTTCTGTGGAAGATAAATACTACCTTAGCAACATAGTTCAGTTATTTATTGGTGCTGAAAATCTAGAAGCACTTAAGAACTGAAATGAGAACTCTTCAAATAATAAGAGAACCTGGACATACAAACATAGGAAAAGATATTCTTTAATTATCAAGGAAATCATGAGAATTATTTTTCCCTAGGTTTGAATCATCTGTCAATCACTACAAAAAATTCAAACATACATCTTTCATATTCAATATAATTACACAAGGTTTGACCTATCTCTACAACATTAGGATGCAAATCATCTATGATCTAACCAAAGCAAATAAAAGTTTCAATCCACATGAAAATTGAGAAAGGTATAGATACAGTTATTCTGGTAACTAACCTGAATACCACCAACGGAATTGTTCAATCCTAATGTTTCAAAAGGACCAATAGCCGGCTTTGCTCCAATCCCTACAATAACCTACATTTGAATTGAACAGAGTTGTTCATCTCATGTTCCACATTCTCAATGTTTTAAGAAATGGTTTTGAAATGGATAAGAACCAATATCAATAATTGGAAAACTACTTCCATATCAAATAAAGTAATAAACTCTCCACAGATAATAATGCACTCTTCAAAGTTAGGGAAACAGAGTCCAAACCTCAAAAAACTTTAATAAATCAATATATTTAATAAATATGAACTAGGAATTACTTGTTCCGCTAAAAGCTCAAAAGGAATAATTATCCTGCTAAAAGCTCAAAAGGAATAATTATCAAAAAGGAAAGGTTGAGGACAGCAAATGTGAAGGGCAATAAAGCTTCCATCGTGCACTCATAGTTCATGGAACTCCAAAGGGGTTGGCACCAACGCTGACAGCAATGTGAAATGCACATCACATGGGGGATGCTATGGAATGTCAAACCTTTTTGATGTTGCTATTTGGCCTACTCTCCCAAAATCAAGCATGTCTCAGAGTGGCAGAGACTATTTTAAAGATGAGGCTAAGACCCTGCAGAAAGGGATCAATCTCTATTCAAGGCCTGATTCGGTCCACCCTACTATTGAATGAGATGAACATTCATGTTATCGCAAGGATTCAGAAGAGTTTCTTCCATATGGTTCTTGGGATGTAGGATTTCTTGTCTCCTGTTTCCTCCTTGTTCACAAACCTTGTTATCCAGTGGGATATTTCCTAGAACATCCAGCTGGATAACATGCGTGGTAATAATACATGGGGTGAGCCCAATTAATAATATTGATTTGATAATGTTGCATTTTGTTTCTTCAATGAAATTTTCTTTTTAACCAAAGAATAGGATTGCCACAACAATGCAAATTAAAGGTTTTTTTTCTCGACAGAATGCATATTTAAATTCGTCACTTTGTCTATCCCTCAATAATTCCTCTCCTATAGTGGTTTGAATGAATGGGGCAAATAATGCAATTACCGTGTCTGCTTCCACAAGAGATCCGTTCTTTAACCTCACAACAGCAACTCGTCCATCACTACCAGCTTCCAATTTGTCAACCATCATACCCTAATCAAGAAAATGAAGTATAAAAAAAGTGTTGTAAGATTCTCATTATGAAAAAGAGTATGAAGAATTGTTAAAGACATATGGATATCACATATTATTTTCTGGTATATGGACAAGAGCCCATTAAAGATACGAATATTGCATATAGCATAACATGCAACATAAATTTTACCTTCAAAAATTTCACACCATTCTCTTGATAGAAGTCTTCATATCTCCTAGCTAGGGAAGCTGTAAACAACCTTGGCATCAAGTGATCGTCTGGAAATATGACCTATTCAGAACATAATAAGTTATAACAACAAATCACATGGTCGTGATTTAAAAGTCCCCATTTAACTTCAGGTATGAATCAAGAAATCTCACAGGAATCACTAAGACATTTTCCAAAACAAGCCTCACCTAAAGCAACTAGAAATAATCATCTAACATGACACCTTAAGTCCTTCCAAGAGCCATCAGAATTGGAATTAAACTAATAAAATAGATGATGCGGAAGACCGGATCATGTAACCACTAAAAGAACTAGAAGACTTTCTTCCAAAAATGTGAACGAAATGGAAACAAGACCAGATTTACTAACACGTAATCCTCCAAGATGGTAGACCAAGTGAACCCTTCACAGTGACTGACACCATGGGAGAATATCTATGAAGTGTCAATGTCAAGAATATATGATAACTCCATGACGAATGACGAACTTCAAGAATTATTTCAGTAACTTGGAATTACTTGCTGACCAATGAGAGAAGCTCCCCAATTTAGAAGATCTAGCCAAATGCTGAAAATTAATGAACAAACACAACTGAAATGGGCTCGACAGATGCACATTAAATTCAGATAAAACAGAGATGAAAGGTGAAAAGAAAAAATATATACTTTAGATGTACTTCTTTCTCGAGGATAAGTAATAAATGATTTGATCTTACTGTTCTTTTGAGTAGGGTTGCAAATCTCAACACCAAAACCTAGCACACTAGCATAGAGTTTTTACAAAGACTTAATGCTCAATAACACAAAGCACCACGGCGTGCCTTCAAACAGAAAGTTTTAGCGTTCTACATCTATCAAGATTAAATAGCAATGGAAAACTTGTGTTTCCCTTACCAAATGGCATTTAACCATTGCTTTTTGGATGGATGTTAGGGCTTCTAAAAGCCCTTAGATGACAACTTGCCATCTGTTCGCAACACTTCAGAATAAATTTCCAAGAAGGTTCTACTGGGATAGAGAGGGATAAGATAGTTGTTTCATCCAGAGTAGACAATGACTTGATGTAATCTTCCATACAGCCATGGCCTATAAGCCTGAGACAGATCATTAAAAAGTTCATATTCCTATGCAGCAACTATTTACGAGGAAGAGATGGAAGCATTAACGTGACAATAATTTCTTCACCAATGCTTTAAATTATCAGTCTTGGCAATGGGATAGCGTCTTTCTAATTGCAAATCTGGAAAGTTTCCATCCCCCTCCCAGCCCAAAATTCCTGCTTTCTGCCACTTAATGCAGAGAAAATCATCCCTATATGTGATAACTAGGAAACAAATTTCATCATGCCTAACAGTCTCTCCTTCATACAGATACAATCAGATATAGAGACTTGGACAACTACTTCAGTGGCACTTGGATTGGTATAAACATTTACCACTTAGCGCAATAATTTTCTTCCATGGAGGATTAAAAACAGTAATTTAGGAAGGGAATGTAAACAGGAAGATTGCAAGGATTAAACAAAAATCCTATGCACGATGGGACTCAATGGACAAGTTCAAAACTGCTGAAGATGCCGCAGTTGAGACTTGAGGTTATGGAAAGTGAAAGGGAAAGAATCTGAGAAAGGCTGAAGCCCCATGGCTAGGTAGGCATCATGATCAGGTGTATCAAATTTTGATATTGTGTGGCAATTGGAGATAGCAAAACGAGAGTTTGGAATCTATTGCAAAAAAATAACATGTCCAATCTAAGAAGAATATTGCCCCTTTCTTTTGGAAATCTCAAGTTCTAGTGGAGCGGATTTTGGGATTAAAAGAAAGTTCAGGATGGCAAAGTTGGTATCGAAATCCTTCGTCGCATCCTACAAAAAGAAAGAAATAGAGACAAATGACATATTGATAATGTGACACCAGATATACTCAGTACAATACTGCTTTTCTTGGCAGGTTAGCGGAGAGATTCAATCTCAAGATGTAGTGCTGCAATTGTTAACATCCTAACCATTCAAGTCCCCGGCCCCAATCCCAGCTCTAATGATATTGTTATAAGTTATAATTGACAAGTTCCTGGGTGAAATGGTCAAGCAAGAACAAACCTCAAGATCAATCCAGTTTGAAAAACCAAGTTCCATTGGAAGGATTCACCAGTAGCAACCGAGAAAGAATTGGTGAATTGGTGACAACAAACATTTCTCTTATGGTCTAGTCTAGCAAGCTTTTGAGGTGAATCCTTACACACTAGTAATGCAACAATTACTTTCAAGGAGGAACAGCCAAACCCCTTAAAAGGCCAATATGTTTAATGGAGGAAATTGTGTCCATCACTCTGAATTACATAACCCACCCCTAAACTTCATAACAAACACACAATTGCTCCAGCTGAAGCCAAGTAGACAGATTTAACAGTTAAATATATAAATGTACTATGTTTTTAAGAAATCATCATCTACTATGTTTCTAAGGAATCATCAAAACCACTTGTAATAATTGAAAGAAATTGTAGAATAATAATTACCAAATCATCACTGCCAGATAATTACAGTACGTTAAATAAACATAACTTTAAACATACCGTTGTATCCAGATTCCAACCAACAGTTGCTGCAGCAACCTCCATACCAATATATCCACCACCGATAACAACTACCTTTTTAGCTTTCTTCTACAATAGACATCAATCACATGTAACAATTAAGAATAACATAGTGCGTAGAAATTAACTGAGAAAGATTGCCTTTTCAATAAAAAAATTACTAAGATTCTATACCAAGATTTCATGGATGACGTATAGAAATTCCAGTATAACCGTAACTTAACAAAATTAACTAGATGAAAATACAACTTACACATACCAGAATAAAATAAATGACAAATTAGAAACTGTAGCACCAAGCCAGAGCAGGATTTAGGTACAAGCCGAAACACATATTGACCTGTGTATATACCACCATTGAGGCCATCATTGAGGTATATCCTAGTACACCAGTAGCTTAGCCCCTTTTTTTCTTAAGTTTCTTCTATTATTTTTGTGCATTACATTGTAGCCTAGTGAATGTAAAGGTTTCCAGCTCAAGAACAGCGTTTATAGTGATGGTTACACCAAGCTATATTTTCAAACACAGCCGCCACTAAAAAAAGTTTTAAATTTTCATCAAAGCTCTCAATACCTCAATTTTGCGCTTTGAAAGTGAGTTTTTGTTCAATCTGCCCTGATTTCTTTTCTAATAAAGACCAATGGAGAATTTGTGGAAAATTGATTCTTAGAACGGATGATCCTCCTCAACTAACAACACTATCAAGTTAAATCTGGACCTTTGAAACAAAAAAAACTTCATTGGAAAAGATTAAGGAGACCATGTTAATGGTCAAGATTTGACCTGACAAACAGAAACTCCAACCCATATGAAAAAAAGAAATACAAAACAGAAACTCTCCACCCATATCACAAAAAAAAGAAAAAGGCAAAAAAAGAAATAAGGATGGTCATTATTAAGAACAACTACAGATCATGTTGTTGGACTAGTAAACATGCTACATCGTGACTCCGCTTAGGTTGCTTAACAAATGGACCAATCTCCTTAATGTAAACAAGATTTGGGTTTGGACTTGTTTGATTAAGGAATTGACATTGCAATACTACTTCAAGTTCAATTCTTCTGGTGGACTTTCCCCCAAAAGATGGATCTACAACGTGAACTCTTGGATGCCAGACTCCAATACTTTGCAAAACTGATATGGTTTATAATAATTGAACATTCCCGTCTCTGCTCTCTTTCACATTGAGAGTGAAAAAGCATGACGACGGACGATGTTGAGTTTACTCCTAAAAAAACAAGCATTATTAAGACAAAAAAGTTCAAGCTGAAGAAAGAAATGGCACTGAGTAGTACGGCCTCACTCTCAAAAAATAAAAATGAATTTTCTTTAATTAGTAGAACTTACCAAACAGTAAAAGAATAACAGCAACTACTATGAGTACAAGAGGAACAAAGCCATAGAATTTAGTATTTATTCCATTTGGTAAGTTCTCTTCTTCTTCTTTTTCTGATAAATTATACCATTTGGTAAGTTTATCATGCAGTGTCCTAACTTCAGTAACATCCAGCTGACCAAAGAGCAGTTCATAACTTCATATCAATAAAATCGAGCTGCCTCGAAATGCTAGTGAGTTGTCAATAGATGCTCAATAACTGCAAAATAAAGGATTATTCTTTGTATGAGGATTAGCAATACATACTAATGAAGAAATCAGCATATCAGCATCAGCAACATCACGGATGTAGTGGACGCCAGGCAAGTTTCCTCCAATGCCCTCAGGTAATCTGGACCAAGGGATGACAAAAGTAATACCATAAATATTGTATTTTCAATTTCATAATTTCTAATATTAACAACATTCTAGAGTGGCACAATTCAGCAAGCCAAAAAACTATTTTAAAGAGATTATCGAGAGGTTTATTTACTTCTTGTACGTGTCTGACAGTCGGGTAAGGTACATTTCAGTGCATATACTTGTTATCAAGGGTATTTTGTTATAATGACTCTGAGATCCACAGAAAAAGGTATCAAACAAGGCCAGCTATCAGTGTCAGGATATTTTGAACCTCGCATACAAGTATGAGAAGAGGTAGAGAGACATGAATCCACAGTGACAAATTACAAATTCCCTGATGCAAATAATACCAGTACAAGAATACAATGACTAATCCAATAAGATCAGACTTAAAATTGAAAGCCTGGCTCCTAGATTACATGGATAGTTACTTGAGTTGTATATTACAGATCCTTAATAATGATCTAGAAAATGCTAAAGAATACAAAATGTATTGAAAAGAAAAAAAGCAACCAAGGAAAAGAAGATATAAGTTGTTATCAAGAAAATGAACAGAGTACCTTGCAGCAGTACATCCTGTGGCAATTATAAGTGACCCATACTTAAGAAGTTTTCCAGATGCAGTTGTCAAAGTTTGTGCTTCAGTATCCAATGTTGTCACCGGATCTTCATACAAAACCTTCAGAAAGAAAATAAAACAGCAGTCAATGCCACCATTGGCCTGGGTGAACAACAGTAACACAATATCTAAAATGGAAGGTGCCACAATAGGCATTTCATGGCACATATACATATAAAGACAAAACAAAATACTGATCCTTTTCACCTAACAACAATATCCTAGAAATATTAGGGAACCATGACCAGGGTTGCATCTCCAAAACAGCCCCACTCCCCTACCTCAAACAAAGGACACCAAAGTTAGCTTGACTACCGGCCAGCTCATTAGACATAAAGAGGTGAAACTACAGTAGACATGCACATCGAGTAACACATGGCTTACAATTAGTATGAAGTTCTATTATGGCATGTAACATCTCTATGACGACAAGTAACTCTAATTTATACACATCTCAACTAACTGTTAAATCTATAAATTTGCTATAATCGCCATAAAGCCACCATGTCCACCCACATTTATCCCCCAACCCCAAGGCATGAAAGGAATATCCTTCACTTCCACCATCCCAAATATGTCAGATAACTTGTACAAAGAAATGAATCCATCTCCAATGAGATTTCTGAGATCCATAAAGTCAACACCCAACATAGACGGATTATTCCTCTTTATGATTCAGGCCCCATAAAATCCCCAAAACAACAGGGAAAACACCTAATATTTCTCAGGATCCATTCAAAGTCAAATTGGCAAGACCAAGAGGTGTCCTTAATAGCAATTACCATCAAAGACAAGCCAAACATGACAAGACATGGATTTCAATAATATTCATCTCAACAGATGCAAGAATCAGCATTCAAATTTATAATCATACATGAATGAAAACTACAATCCAATATCAAAGGGAATCACGAGTTCAATCTCTTGATGTTATCAAGCAAGCCAGTAATAATCCTGAAACTTGGACAGAAATTACTACCATAGTCCTAGGTCAGGAACAACTCTGAAATTCAAAAACCCAAATCTTGACTCATCTAGATGTGGAACTTGCAAAAATTTTGGAAATCAAAGGAACAATTCTTTTTTGGTATATTTTCTTTCAAGTAACAAACGAGAAGCTACACAAGCAAAGATAATATTCCTCACAAAGAAGTTTGATAAACCCAAGGTTAATGAATGAATCACAAATCAAATCTACACTTAGACAACTTTGCTTGATAAAACCATAGATGAGAAAAATCTAGACCATATAATATTAAGGCAAGCCTAAGCTTCATATAAACACAATATCAGTTAGTAAAAGAGGACTAAAAGGACAAAACTTTCCATGAAATGATATACGGTGCATACAGTACAACTATCAAGCACACCTGATGGTCGAAGAACCACATTTAAATCTCTTCCATGATATTTGTAACAAAACAATAAATAAAAGATCTGGTCAAAAAGATATGAATAACTTGTATGCTGGTGAAGAAAACCATAATTAGCTTATTAAAGACATACCTCAATTCCTTGCTTCTCATACCACTCTGGTGTTTGCCTTTCGCCACCAGATCCAACACATGTGTGGAAACCCTAAAAGATTATCCATAATGCTCAAAAAGGGAGACAAATAATCACATAAAGAGCATGTGGATGTATAGTGTTCAATCAAGTATTGTGCAAGTTTGAAAATAAATATGCAAACAGAAAAAATACACAGTTCGCTACCTGTCTGGATATATGCAACTTCATCAAGCACATAAGAAACCATCACTAAATGCTAGTATTGAAGAATTTAGGGAGTGAAACCATGGCAAAATTAAGAGTCAAAATGGCTTTCTAACAAATATATATGCAATACAGACCCGGTTCAATTTAATAAATAAGAAAAAAAAAATTACTTTTCTCTTTTGTGTGTCCACTCATTTTTATATATAAAAAGTTACAAAACGACAATGTGAATGCCAATAAGTATATGTCCTGCACCCAAAATTGGCTTGGGATATTCTTATTTGTTGAAACAGCTTGGGATTCTTACTGGAAGTCGCGCAGGTTTCTTATCTAGAGGAAACAAATAAGCTTTGGTCAAAGCTGGGCGCTCATAGGGTGCAACGGCCTGTAAAGCAGCAACATGGAACACTATATCAAATATTAGCTTCCTAGTTCCTCCAAAATATTACAACTCCAAAAACAAGAAAATAAAGTAGTCAAGGCATTTGCATGAATAAGGATGCAACTATTTGAGCAAATGTGTCATGGCATGGCATAGTATGTAAAGGCCAAACATGCAATAATAACTGCATAACCTGGACTTGATTTATTCACAACTCTTTTTGTTTGCCAAGAAACAAAAGGAATATCTATATTATTTTCTTAGCAGTTTGTATTTGCATCAATGTTTTCAAGGTAATGCAGCTCTCAACTTGAGTTGGATCTAACTATGCTTAATTTGATAAGAAAAGGTTACAATCTATATTATATCATTTCAGCCATAGCTGATCTAGTCTATGTACCCCAACAAAATTCAAAGCACATTGAGCAATTTAAAAGACATATTTGAAGATAATTCAATATCAAACACTATCTACGCACACCTCCTTTGATACAATACATAACCTCCCATCTGCAAGTCCATGCTCTACAAAGGTTCGTGCAGCATAACCAGCAGCATTGCCACCCCCAACTATGACAAATCTATTAATCAAATCAAAAGCAACATCATGAAAGCATAATCAACAATAAGTGTGTCCTAAACCTAGTTTAATCAATCTTCAGAGAATAAAACTATCAATAAAGTAATAGAAGCAAAATCAACCATCCTAATACCTAGTTTAATCAAATCTTAAGAGCATAACGTTACCATCGCAAATAGGAACAGAAGACTAAAAGCAAAATTAGTCATTCAGGACCCAATTTAATCAAACTTGTGAGCATACACTAGTACAACAAACATAAACGAATAAAGAAAGCAAGATTAACTATGCTAGACAATTAAATATTCTAGTCTTTCTACACCCACTTTAATCAGTGTTTTGAGCACAGTGATTCAAGTCTCGGCCAAGTCCACTCAGACTCAATCAAGTAACTTGGCCTCCACCTATGGCCAAGGGGAGTTCCAGAAGCCAACTCGAACTTGTTTAAAATTATTAGAAAGTCCCAATGTTTGTTAAGCAATCTTAAATATATGATTTAAAAATGCATTTTTAAATGATTTACATGGTTTTTAAGTTGGGAGCTTTTCTTGTTACATGCTCCAATCTTTTATTTTTCAATTTTTTTGATTTTCTGAATACTTCAAGTTATAAGTCAAATTTCTCAAGAATCCATCTTTTATATAATTTTTGGACTTTTATGGACTACTAATGATTTTTTTAGTTATTTTACTATTTTCTATTTTTTAATAGTATTCTACTTATTCTTTGATATTTTAACTCCACCATTGCCAGTCACAAGCCCAGATTAGAAATGAGGGTTGTGTATTTGTATTAGGTTGGCACTTAGTAGAAAACTTTTACCACATCAGTACATCACTATCTTCATGTTTTTATTCTGTACAAGACACTGCTGCATTTGAAAACATTCTTTGAGCATAAATATTATCACCACAAACAGGAACAAAGTATAAAAAAAACATAATTAGCTATCCTAAACCTATTTTAAGCAATCTTCTAAGCATAAAATTATTGTCACAAGCAGGAACAAAATAAAAAATATCCTACACCTAGCTTGATCGATCTTCTAAGTCTACAATCACAAAATGGACCAGAACAATAAGTTCATCGCAAACTGAAACTGTTCAAACTCCTTTAATCAGTCTTTCACAAGTAAATCCCTGATGAAAACGTGATATAAACTAAAAACCTAATTTGAAAACTGAATAACATCTTGAACAGAGATCCAGATCATTCGAAACAATCAGAAACAAAAATCAACTATCAATCAGTATGAAGCCACCTAGAACAAAGAAGATATCAATCCTTCAACAGAGATAAGCAGGCGCCTAAATAAACAACATACTCTCTATTCTCGTTGGCAAATGCAGCAGAAGAAGCAGTGACAATGGTTCTCCTCCTAAAGCTTGAGAAGCTCATCCCAGAGCGACAAGAAGATTGTTTAACAAATGGAGATTGAGGACAAAAGAGAGAAATCCCTTGTTTAATGGCAGAAGAATTCGATATCACCATAGAGGCAGCCATTTTCTTAAGAGCTGTAAATGTACGTTCACAGGTGTTTGGAGGCAAAACCAGTTAGAGAGAGAGAGAGGGGTAAATTAGATGAGGATAGAGAGAGAAATGAAAGAAAAATTAAGTTAGAGAGAGAGAGAGGTTTGTTATATATGGATTTGAACCTGATGATGAGATCATTTTCGTTGCAGGATTCGGAGATGTGCTTCTGTCGTAGGTGGACTCTTCACTGTTGTTTAAACTATTTTCACTTTTTTTTTTTTTAATTCAAATGATGGCTCTATGAGAAGCCCAAAGGACCAGCTTCCAGGGTCTTATGCACAAATCACCGTGCAAGTGGCATAAAAAGGGTTCACGTTTGAATTCCCGTGTCTTTCTCTCTCCTCTCTTTCATGGACGCGACTTCAAACCGTCTTCTTCTTAATTCTAGAGGGCACGTTTGCTATGTAACAGAGGGTAAAATTATTTCCAGGAAAATTGATTTACATGTGAATGGGAAATGATTTCCCGTACTCTTACCTGGTATTTGCTTGTTCAGATTTTCTTAGGGGTATGTTTTTTTTCACAAAATCGAATCGGAACAGTTTACCGGACATAGCTAAGGAGCGGTTTAACCGGTCTTACCGGTAAATTGGCCGATTCAATCACTCTAACCGGACAAGTTCCAAATGGTCAAAAACGTGTTGAAAAAAAATAAAAAAGATACAAAAAAAAATCTATTAAAATATGAAGAACATATAAAAAATGATTAAAACAAAACATATTCAAATGAAGTTGAAAATTAATGAAAATAATAGATTTTAACTCATTTTATATTTTTCAATGGCTATTTTTTAAATTTTTTAAAAACAAATAGGAAAATATAAAAGTGAGAATTAATGACCAAAACAATTTTTAATCTTTACCATAATGTAAATAATATTTAAAAATACATTACAAATCAAATTCTTTATTTTTGAGAATTTATATATATATTTTTGAATTTTTTTTTTTAAATACAAGTTGATCATCTTAACCGCCCAAGACCCGATCTAACAGGACGGTTAGCAGTTAGATCGGGCGATTTTGCGAACAATAGTTTCTTTTGATTGATGAAAACATCGATAATTGTTTTCTTGTGGAATATGGTTTAAGAGTGATCAATCAAATAGGTTTTTCTAAAAATAACTCATCTACAATTGGACTAACAAAATAAGCGGGACTAACAAAATAGACTAAGTCTTGGGCTCAAGGTTAGGTGGTCATGGTAGCAAAGCCTACTACAGGCATGAACGTCATCCCTACTAAACCATCTAAAAAACAAAACAAATAATAGACTATTCAAATCCTAAGATTTCGCGCAAAAAAAGGTCTTGATTTATCATTAATATCACTATTTTTTATTTTATTTTTTTAACATTAGGAATTTTTTAAACTGTTGGCAGTTTTTGAAAGCACTATGTTTTATTTTATTTTTTTAACATTAGGAATTTTTTAAACTGTTGGGAGTTTTTGAAAGGGTGCGGTTTGTATAGAGCCTAGGCTCTAAACAATCAGATTAGAGCTTACCTTCAAATAGTTTCAAGAAATGTGGTTTCATTACTGAAATTATGTGATAGATTTAAAAAAAAATTTCATATTTATTTATAAAGTTTAAAGCTTCAAAAATAGTGTAGATCAATAGACCTATAAAAACTTAAAAATCTTGAAAATTGATGGTCAAAAAATGCATTACAAAATACACTATTTTCAAAACTTGAAATCCATGTTTTTCTTATGTCCATGTATCTTGATGTCAAGATGATCAATTTGAAGACATTTGAGCATCAAAACAACCTATTTTAGTAAAAAATTGAAGGTAGGCTCAAATTTGATTGTTTAGAGCCTTGGCTCTATATAAACTTTTCCCTTTTCGAAAAGGGTTAGCAAACTGCGACCAGAAGCAAGTCACTGTGCTACCACCTTGACCACAACCCATTCCCACACTATTTGTTATTATTACATAAAGGGTATGGTTTCTATAAGGTTACAACCTTAAACAATCCAATTAAAGTGCACCTCTAAATTTTATCATAACATGTAGTTTTGGTGTAAAAAATTCTTAGGATTACCTTAAAATCTATGTTAATATCTAATTATAAAATTTTAAACTTTAAAAATAGTTAAAATCACGTAAATTTATAAACATATGAAAATTTTGAAAATGGACGGTCTAGATAATATGTTGGCAGATGCACTATTTATAGGACTCAAAATCTTTTTTCTTTTTTTCATATTCATACATTTCAATGTCGAGATGTCGAGATGATCAATTAGAAGGTTTTTCAATATTAAAACAACTTTTTCCGATGGAATTTTTAGATGCATTTTTAATTCTACATTTAAAGTTGCAACCTTATATACATTTTTTCCTTACATAAATAAATTGTTTCTATCGAGGCAGTTAATTAGTAGAACTCTTCTTGCCTCCCTTTTTTCCTCACTCCCCTTTCCTCTCTCTCTTAGGGTGTGTTTGATAATAGGAAATTGCTTTCAAGAACTTGAAAGTTATCTGTTATTGCAGATGTTCCGTGTTTGATAAAAGTTAGTATTTTAAAATGGTAAGTTACATGTTACTCTGGATCTTCCCCCACTTAAAGAAAGTTATGTCAAGTTGGACGAAACTTAACTTGAGAACTTCAATGCGGAAGTTCCTCGTGTGAAGAACC